GATCATTTTGATAACAAAAAGTATATTGTTCTTTAATGCTTTCAATCCAAATTTGGTTCATATTTAAAAAGTTTGGCGGGCGTTCTATAGGTATCATTGGATGCCATAAAAAATGAACTTGAACAAGCTGAAGAATTTTTTTACGAAAGTTTTTTTTTGCAAAAAAACTTTATCCCTTTCATTTAGCAATTGTTCCTGATTTGTGCGATCAATCATTGCTTGACTTCGTCTATCTGGTTGCCATGTAGGATCGATAATTGAGCAAAGCGAATGTGCATTATAAGAATCATAATAATTGTGCGTAATTTCAGTGCTTGTAAGTTTTTTTTTTAATTGCACGAATTACGTGCCAATAACATAACTGAATCTTAGCTTCAGTCCAAATTCTACTTGCAGCTGTAAGTTGTCCGCGATCTTTATCTGTTAAAATTGTTTTAACATCTTGAATTCCATTCATTTTTAAATACTAAAACCATTTAGTAATTGCATATGTTTTTCCATGTGGATATTGTGGATCAATAAAAAAATATGATAATGGAAACCCTGAATTATCTAGAATTCCAAGAACTGCGTATAGTTCAAATTTTAAACGGGTTGGTACTAGAGATGGGAAAAATGCGTATTTTATAATAAAATGCGCATGAATGCGCATTAATGCGCACGAATCGTTTCATGCGCATGATATCGCATGATAAAAAAAAGGCAAAAACGATCGAGAGGAGAGAAATTTTGATGGGATAAATTGCGCATGAAACAGTATCATGCGCATGAATGCGCATTAATGCGCATGATTCCTCAATCATGCGCACGCATGAAACCCATCTCTAGTTGGTACCAAATGTAGCGTCAATAACAATTGTTCTAGTAACCTTATTTGGAAGTAAAAATAATAAAGGAGTTACAAATGCTAGCGTGTATTGATCTTGATAAAGAAGCTTGAAACTGGAATTATTTTCCAAGTATAATCGAGCTGATTCCAATTGATTGTCTGCTAACTTGTATTTTTTTACAGCCAATTTCTTAGACCAATAATAAATTTGATGCCGTGTAATATGTAAAAATCCATCAATTTTTTCATTTTTGATATTTTCATAAAGTTGAGGAACTGTTAGTAAATTGTTCTCAATAATATAATTGCGAATTTGAATAGAAACATCCATCATTTCAGGCAGTGAGTGAAGATAATGGTACTGTATATGCTAACCACTGCCAAATTATAAGCACGTTCAATATTAATTTGAATAGTTCCATTACATGCATACCGATCAATTCGTGGCATTGTATCTCTTCTGTTAGAAATATTATCAACCCATGGTTTTTTATTTTTTAACTCCTCGTGACAATTACAATAATAAGTAAATGAACTTGAATTTTTCATTATATTACACTTGTGATATACCCAAGAGAACTTATCAGCCTTTGAAATAAGTTTAATAATATGTTGTGCAACCTCTTTATCCGTTGGATCTTCTAAATTTGTATCGACAATATTTAATAACGGATCTAGAATTATAAAAATTCTTTTTTCGAAAAGTGGTTTAATGAGTTTGCAACGATCGCATTTCATTTTGAAGAATTGAAGAAAAATAATCATTCGCTAAATCAATTAATATTTTACTTTAATGTTATTATCATTATCATACCAGGAACGGAGTTTGTACAACGTACAACGTAGTGTATGGTTTACAGGCATTTCAAATGTGTCTGTACAATTCT